ACATTATAAGCATTTATCCGGTACAACGTGCCTTTAATTACGAAAATTAATTGTATGCAAGGGGAATTGAAAACATCTGTTCGTTTTCCCTATTTATGGTAATACGGGAGACTTGCTTCGCATTAAGGAATGTTTATAGGAGCTTAAGTTATAGTAAACTGTTATCATTCCGAATGTTGTACAAGCGGGGTTATCTTAGGCGCGGTGCCTTTGAACATGAATGCTATCGTTCACTTTAACCAATGCCGCGTCACGGTAGGTAGAAAGAAAGACACTGCATGATTTTATGTAATGTTTGTCGCCATTTAAGGATGTTTATTTTGTTATCGGTGGCAAGTTGAAGGAAACGTTCCCGTACATTTCATTTTGATTTGTACCTATTCCTGTTCAACCAACAAGATAACATTCCACAAGAGTTGAGAGGACAAAAGTTAGCCACCATCAATGGTCATAGCTTGGGTGTGATTTGTGATACGAAAGTCGTTGCAGATCAGGATCAGACAACTGTGCTGAACTTCATTTAATATTTTTGAGTTTTATAACAAGATATATCAGCATTTGGAACACTATTCCATCCCTTAAAAAATTCTATACTGAAGTCTTAAAAAACGAAAATGATAAAGTAACAACTTTGTATAGGGACCAACAAACAAACATTGAACACAGGAGTATTAGATTTTATGCTATTTTATAAGATTGTTAAATGTGAGCATAATCCTAACTTTAAAGATTTACAAGTCAGTCATCAATCATATACCACATATTCCAATTGGAGCTTTACAGAAGATGGCATTAACGTTTTCTCACATACGAATCAATCAAAATTAAAACACTAAAATTGCCAATTAGGATATTAAAAAATGATATGGACAATAAAATGAATTCAGGCGCGCTTTCAACATTTTATTTCTATGAATTATGTGCGTCGTTATGTAAATGATCGTTTAATAAATTTTCGCCCTCGGTATTAAAAAGCTAACTAAGATATTTAATTCTACGAACAAAACTAAAACCAAAAAATTCTTTCGAGATCTGGTTTTTTAAAACTAATGAAGTAGTAGCGCCAAGTTGTAAGTATATTAATTGCCTCTTTTACATAACTTTTTCTACAGATCTTTAAATATTTAATAGGATGAGTGTTGATTTGCATCTCAAAATGAAAATTTAGTAACCATTACCAAACAAGTGTCCAAAATTGTTCATAATCTCTGGCCGAATTTTTACTTAGCGGTATTAATAGTAATTTCAATCAAAGGACCGATGCCGCATTTCGCCATGTTCTCGTCAATGACCTGCGATGGGAGAAAAATCCCGTCCGCCCACAATATTATTAAAAAACTATCATTCTGATTTTAAGTATAAACAAACGATTTTCTTACAAGATAATTTTCTATAATCAACGTAGGTACTGTTTATTTGCAAATCTCTATCTCCCATTATGGTAGTGTTCGTTCCGTTTTAGCCTTTACAGTCACTTATAGCGTTGGGCAAAAAAATCGATAATCGATTATTAATCAAAATAATCGATAATCGGGTTTGATTATTCTATTAAATTAATCGATTATATCGATTATTTGATTTAATCGATTATTTGATTAATCGGTTATTTTGATTAATCGATTGTTTGATTAATCGATTATTGATTAATCGTTTAATTTGATTAATTCGATTGTTTGATTATCAATTATTAAGTAAATTTTAATTGATTATTATTAGCTGGATCATCAGTTTACGCAAAAAGGAGCACTCACAGCTCACAAGTATATTTATTTTATAGCGGATGTTAAACGTCACTTTAAGCAGCTAAAATGAATTAAGATTTGTATCATCAAAACTAAAGCACAGCTCATCGGAGAGTAACCTGCCTAATCATCTTATTTTATTTATTTATTTTTATTTTTGAAACTTCATTTTCAAATGGGCAGGGTTTCAGCCAAGGCTGTCCTAAACCCAACCAACTATGCATTTGCAAATATCCATGGACACTTTGTTGATTATTGATTAATCGATCTGCCTGTAATGAACGATTTGATGAAAAGAGTAATGGAATTATTTTTTTATTTTTATTATAATAATTAACGTATTAATGCATACAAACAGATATTTATCACTCCTTGTATGTGACAATCGACTTTTGATTTAAACGATTAGGTGACTAATCGATTATTAGATTAATCGACGATTTGATTAATCGATATTTGATTAATTTTGATTATTTGATTAAACGATTATTTGATTAAGATTCGATTATTTGATTTAAATCGTTATATTTGATAATCGATTATTTGATTAATCGATTAATCGTGTAATCGATTATTTTTTCATAATCGATTATCGATTATTCAAACCCGTAATCGCCCAGCCGCTAGTCACTTACCGTTGGCCTTGACCCAGAAACTTCTTTAGTACTCCCAAATATCCCAATTATTTTTTGAATTGATCAATGGATGTTGATAATAATGATTTTTGAAAGATGTACGTAGCTTCGTCCATGGACTAATGTAACACTGAACTTACCAAACCGAAGATTCTAAGGAGACCGACTACCAACAATTACTGACACTTTCTTAAAGGATAATGGCGAGGATAGTTGAACAAAAAGATTGTTTTTTATTGTATTGTTTCACTAACAACGTCTTTAATACTTTATTTTTATTATACATGAACGTTTAGAATTATAGAAAAAATGCCCATGCCTCTAATAATTTTTTTTATGTTTTATGTTTATCGATATTTTAATACCTAGCTATTCTGCTATTCGGGCGGGAGACCAACCCAACAAATCAAAAATCATGAAAATCGGTTCAGCCGTTCTTGAGTTAAATCTAGAAACCACAACCGTGTTTTTTATCGCCTAAGATTTTTGCATATACTTAAATGCACAGGAACGGTCTGTGTTGATTTCGCTTTGGTTACAGTTAAAGTAAATCTTTACGACCTTTTCAGGCCATAACATTTAATTAATTTAATTAAATAACCCTGTACGGTACAATAAAGTAATGTTTAGTAGATCACAATTGAATTATTCCGTACAGTATTCGATTTATATTTAATTAAATAAATTAATTGGATCTTAAACTTTCAACCGCTTAGAACTGGTACGCGAACGAGTTTAAAATCCATTGTCACTTACGGTGAAGGTGGATATAAGGAATTACAATATGTATGAGAAGTAGGAAAACGTGTCCAATATAAAACGTGGAAAATATGATTTGTATTAAATATTCAAAATGCAGCATCCGTTAACTCCCTTTCTTCTTTGGGAACTTTACAACTTCAGCTTCCTTGTTCGCACGAATTGATTTTTATCGTTTGCAGTATGCATGATGCGCTTTAAATCGTGCCATTTATGAATAGATAATACAGCACTTTTGTACACAAAATTAGTATCAAAGCAATGAAATTATGTAATCGAACAGTTTTGCGTTTCCATTATAATTCTGTAAGAATCAGGACCCGATTACTTATTTTTATTCATATTTTTACTCATTTTAGAATGTTATGAAAAATCAACGTATAGAATTTTAATAAAAAGGCGCGTTTCGCAGCTATCATCATCAGCACACTAAAGTCACAGTATATTAAAATTCAAATTTATACTGTATTTCATGAAAGTGTCTGGTATACCTACATGATTTACAAAAGTATCATTTAATTAAGTGACACTTCCGCCATTTGTACCAAAACCTAACAATAAACGGATGTTCACTAGATCGTTGCACCCATTAACATTTTGTTGACGACCCATCACATCAAAAATAGTTAAAAACCAACAGAAACATTCCGAATTACCTATCTCCTAAGTTAACATTTTTACGATTACCAATTTCTTACATTTGTTTTTATACAGCTTTTATCTCGTACAGTTTTATTAACGTTAAGTTTTTTCTTTAATTAACGACACTTTAAAGTGAAAGATTATTGCGGGTTTGTTAAAATAGCTAGATAAATATTAATTGCTTTAAGCAGCCATTAATTCAAAAATGTCAATATAGAGATGTGGAATTTAACAAATTTCCCATTAATGACGATATAGGAGATGTTTATAAAGAAATTTAAATTGACGAAGCGAACATCTGGATTTCGCTAATTAAAATTAAACGCTTTTTACAAACAAAAGGATCTCTGGATCCGCCCGGCTCGAAGACATACGATATAATCAATTTGATACAGCGGATTAGTACAAGATGATGTTTAATATTGCGTCGTGCAAGGCTATTAAGGGGCGCAACTGTTGGTTTTTCGGACTCTCATGCTGTACAAGATCATTACAAGTGAAGCGTAAGATAATTAAAAAATTAAATTATTCATTAAGGCGGGTTTATGTTAAACGTGAGTAGCTGTACCACGAGTTAAAAGCGCTAAATCATCGGTTGGACAAATGTACATCCGAAAATTCCAACAAATGCTTTATCCTAGCATTGTTTTCACCATTTGTTTTAAATTTTATGGTTTTATTGCAAACTGCAAAGCGATCTCTATACTAATATCAAGATGCTGATCTGATGTGGCGATGGCATAAAAGAGTGTTGGATTTGGTATCGAAAGGGAAATCAAGCGCAGTTCCACTGTCGCTTAATGTGTAATGACACTTCCAATTCCTTCTTAATTCGTTGTAATTCCACATTATTCTGCCGAATTCCATATAACGGAACCTCAGTTTCATTTTTGTTAATTTAACTTATCGAGTGCCTATTAAACTGAATAAATAAAATACTTGCTGTAATGTAAAATTTATTACAATTCAACTGCTCTGAGGCAGATTCAGTTAGACACTAAATTTACATTATTTTCTGCAATACAGGTAAACAAGAAGGGGGGATTTTACCAATAACCAGTTTTCTTTGGTTAAGTATTAACATAAACTGCCCCCTTTTTGTAATTTAAACAATATAAGATATTAATAAAACATATTAAACAAGATATCAATAAACATATGAAACAAGAGATACATATTATACAAACATATTAAACATAACTAATCTACTCGTATTTTCCTATTAATTGTCTGATAAAGGCAATACACAAACTTTATTTATTGCACGTTTTATTTCACTAGTGGCTGTTTTAATGGTCACTACGCGCACTTCGTTGTCTTTGCCAGGATGAAGTTGTATTACACGCCCCATTTTCCATGTGCATGTAGGTAAGTTGTCGTCGACTATGGTTACTAGATCACCAACCTTGATGGGTGTCGTTGGTTTTCTCCATTTATTTCGCATTTGTAACCCATGCAAATACTCCTTCTGCCACCGCTTCCAGAAATGCTGCACCATGGCTTGAAGTTGCTGGTAATGGTTTAAACGATTGTTTGGAGCTTCCACTAGATTGTGATCGGCGATTGCTACCAAACTTCTGCCTATGAGGAAGTGTGCTGGTGTCAAAGGATTTACGTCATTTGGATCGGTACTTAAGGGAGAAAGAGGTCTGGAGTTGAGGACGGCTTCTATTTGTGTTAGTAATGTGGTATATTGTTCAAAAGTTAAAATACTATCACCTAAAATTCTTTTCATATTCATCTTTACTGCCTTTACACCTGCTTCCCAAACGCCTCCAAAATGAGGTGAATTTGCCGGAATAAATTTCCAGCTTATATTTGCATTGGCTGTTTCTTCGATAATATTTGTAGCGCTATTTTCTAAAAACTGATATAATTCTATTAATTGGCGATTAGCACCTGCAAAATTTGTTCCATTGTCCGAAAATATTGTGTTCGGTTTCCCTCTGCGGGAAACAAAACGTTTTAAAGCAGCAAGAAAACATTCGGTGGACAACTCGCTTACTAATTCTAAATGCAAAGCCTTTGTGCTTAAACAAACGAAAAGGCATATATAGCATTTATAAATTTTATAACCTCGTGCACGTCGATCTCTGCTTTTAAATGGACCTGCATAATCTACGCCACTATTGTAGAATGGTGGTGTAGGTGTGGTACGCAATTTTGGTAGGTTGCCCATGTAAATATTGGAAATTTTTGGGTTTGCCTTGAAGCATTTTACACATTGATGAATAATCTTTTTACTCAAATTGCGTCCAGATAAGGGCCAATAACGTTCTCGTAATGAATTTAATAATGTTTGTGATCCGCAGTGCAACAATCTCACGTGCTCGTTTTCGGCAATTAATTTAGTCAATATGTGATGTTTGGGTAATATCAATTGATGTTTTGCAGAATAATTTAAGTCTGATAAAGTTAATCTACCTCCCACTCTTAACAAACCATCCTTGTCTATAAAGGGCTTTAAACATAGTAAAACTGAATTGGGTTTCAATGCATAATTCTTGAGTAGCGATTTAATTTCAGTCGGAAAAGATTGCGATTGTGCTACCTTTATCAATTTTTTAAGAACTTCCTCTCTTTCAGTTGGATCAATGTGTAATGAATTTTTGTTTATAAGGATTTTCTTTGTATTGTCATAAAACCTATAGCAATATGCACTAACATTAATCAAAGTCCGTAAAGATGAAATTTTGGAAAAAATATCATACTCAATTGTGGTGGTGAAGGTAACTCGTTTTGCGTCGGTAACATTATTAAGCATTTTGAATGTATCGGTTGGTAGCTCTTTATTGGAACTCAAAAAATGTGGCCCTTTCCACCATAGTCTCGAATCTAGTAAAGATTGTGGCTTTAAGCCTCGTGAAATTAAATCCGCGGGATTGTCTGCCGATTTAATGTGATGCCAGTCATTAATGTTTGTACATGTTTGAATTTCACTCACTCGATTAGCGACGTATGTCTTCCATTTTGAAGGAGAAGTTTTTATCCATGACAAAGTTATCATGGAATCACACCAGAGATACTCTTCGTTAATGGTAATCGTTAAAATAGAACGGATTTTGTGAATTAATTGTGCCAAAAGGACAGCCGCATTTAATTCGAGTTTGGGCAAAGTTATATTTTTAAGGGGTGCAACTCTTGATTTAGCTGCCAACAAAAAAATTGATATTTTACCGTCCGTAATAGTACGTATGTAAACGTTTGCACCGTATGCTCGTTCGGAAGCATCGGAAAATCCGTGCAGTTCAACTTTGTTTGGATTTTTGTTGTAGACGTAACGTGGTAATTTAATGTTTTTCAAATGTTTAAGATTATCCCTAAATTCTATCCAACGTGTATATAGATTTGTCGGTACTGACTCGTCCCAAGTGATATTTAAATGCCATAATTCTTGAATAATTAACTTGGAAGGTATAATAATAGGCGCTAATAGCCCTAGAGGATCGAATAATTGAGCCGTAATCGCCAATATAGTTCGTTTTGTAACTTGATTCTGGATCTTTAAATTTTCAAATTTATAGTATAAAACGTCCGAAATTGGTTCCCAACATATCCCTAATGTTTTTATTGTATTGTCACCTAACTGGACAAATTCATGCTCTATTGTCTCCTTGTCACTCTGAAATAATTGTGTGTGCACATTACTACACCATTTGCGTAAAATAAATCCAGCCGTACTCAGTATGTGCTTAATGTTACTTCGTATTACTCTTAAGTCTTCTATGCTATCACACCCTGTAATTAAATCATCTATATAGAAGTCGTTTTTAATAATTTGCGCTTCAGAGGGATAAGAATTTTCAAAATCTAATGCAAGCTGATACAGACATCGTGTTGCTAAATACGGCCCTGACTTTGTACCATAAGTAATTGTGTTTAATTGATAGGCCTTTAGAGGTTCATCTACGTTTTCTCTCCAAACTATGTTTTGTAGGTGCCTGTCATCTGAATGTATAACTACCTGTCTAAACATCGATGAAATATCTGCTGTTACGACGTATGGATGTAATCGAAATCTAAGAATAATTGAAAACAAATCGCTTTGCATTATTTTTCCTGTTAACATAATGTCATTTAAAGAAATACCTGTATCAGTTTTACAACTACCATCAAACACCACTCTTAATTTTGTGGTCAAGGAATCTCTTAGTACCGCGTGGTGGGGTAGATAATATGTAGCCTTTAAAGTATCCTCAATTTCAGTCATGTGATTTAATTGCTTATATTCATACATAAATTTTACATATTTGTCTTTAAATTCGGAATTGGCCTGCAGTTTTTTTTCTAAAGAACAAAATCGTTTTATGGCTATGTTTTTGGAATTACCTAAGCTTGAATAATTAGGTTTTAGCGGTATCCTAACAATAAATTTACCATTTGTGGCACGCTGGGTCGTTTCATTAAACATCTTCTCACAGTATTTTTCTTCTGCACTTAAATGACTCACTCTTTCAATACATTCGTTAATCTCCCAGAATTTTGAAACCTCATCTTGTAACTTATTTAGTGACAAATAAGCTAATGTTCTTTTTATTTGACCTTCGTTCGGGCTTAAATTTCCAGAAATAACCCATCCCAATTTAGTTTTATGCAGGGTCGGTTTACCTGTACCGAGTTGGTGTTGTCCAACGCTTAATAACTCCCAAAAGTTACTTGCGCCAATTAAAATATCTATTTTACCTTGCTTATTATAAGTAGGATCAGCTAATACTAAATTGCTAGGTATATCTAAAATATTTGCATTAAAGTTTGAGGATGGCAAGTTGTCCGTAATTTTTGGAATAACCAAACATGACAATGTGACTGAGTAATGATTATAACGGGAATAAATCTTGATTTCAACGCGCGCCATCGTTTTTATGGGAGTTTGACTGATTCCTACAATTGATACATCTGTTTCATGCCGTTTAAGGTTTAATTTTTTACATAATTCCTCCGAAATGAAATTGGATTGTGATGCAGAGTCTAATAAGGCTCTGGCTATAATTATGTTTCCAGCTTTAGTCTCTTTAACGTTTACACATGCTGTAGATAATAAAACTTGGGACGACGTCCTTCCTTTATGTAATGTACTGTAACTGTAACTTGCTAAGGACGTCGATGCCTGAGATGATTCATTAATTGCCTGTACCTGCCTTGAACTAATTTCGCTACTGTTCCTATTGGGGCCCTTGGATTGTTCTTGCTCTGAATTGGAAATATGAAGCAAAGTATTGTGCTTTCGATGACATGATTTGCAAGTGTGTGCATTTTTACATTGAAATGAATTATGACCTTTTTTCAAACAATTTAAACATAAATGTAATTCTTTTGTTCTTTCAATTCTTTTATTGACCGGGAGTTTCAAAAATTCTTCACATTGATACAAGTAGTGTTTACCCTTGCAAGATGCACAATGAGAATCTACTGTTGCAGTTGTAGCGAATGCACTGACGTTATCTGTTTTGTGTTTTGGAAAAGGTTTAAAATTGACTGATGAGGACTGATTAATTGAAAGAGATTCTAATACACCCTGTCTATCGTTTAAAAATTTTATAAATTCCTCTACAGTGGGAATATCGTCCCGCGATTCATATTTTTTATTGAGAAATGATTCCCATTCACGTATAGTATTGAAATCTAATTTGGGTAACAGCATAGGAATTAAAAGAGCGTTCCAGCTTTCAACCGGTTGGTTCATTGCCTTTAAACAGTTTAAATGTTTTTGAATTGTATCAATTAAATGCCTTAAGGTCACGTGAGATCCTTTGCTAACATTACTGACATCCAGAATTTCTCGAACGTGATTGTATATAATTCGCCTTTTGTTATTGTACCTCTCCTGTAGCAATTTCCATGCAATAGAATAATTTGTGTCTGATGTGTCAAGGGAGCTAATTAAATTTGCAGGTTCATTTTTTAAAGCGGATCTGAGATAACATAATTTTTGAACATCTGTTAAATCTGAATTATTATGTATAATTGTTACAAAAGTGTCATGAAAGGTGCGCCAATTAATAAAACTGCCATCAAAAGATGGGATTGTGAGTTTAGGTAATTTAACGTTAGCCGATTTGGCCGTTTGGGAAACATTTGCTATTTCAGTTGGCGGTTTTCTAAGATTCACTAATTGTTGACCTTGAGATAATAATGAATAGTAATTGTTTTCAAATTGTTCCCTTTCTTCTAAATTATCCTCACAATCTGGGTTTAATCTATCTAATTGATTTTGAATGTCGTCAAATTGGTCATATATTAATTGAAATTTAGCTAATCTTTGTTGCAGGTTAATGAGGTCTGTTTCTGCAATATTATCAGGAGATAAACCATTAATGAACCTTTGAAATAAAGTTACCTTTGTCTTAAAATTTCCGCGTTTGTAATGCAATTCTTTAATTTTTTCAGTATTATTGGAATCGGGCATTGTTAGTAATGTTATTGTGTCGAAGCCTTGAAGGATTAAAAATAGGTAAATAAGGAATTCTTACTTGATGTTATGGTAAGCTTGCCAGGTAGATGAATGGATGCACTTTTCCTTTTCTTTGTTGTTGGATGTTGTATCGATGGATTTGTATTTGGACTGCCGATGAAATTGTAATAATTGACTGGTAACCACTCACGATTCGCGTTATTGTGACTAAATTTGATTGCGTTTGAATGTTTTAACCGGACATCCGGCTCGAAGGACCATTGTTAATTTAACTTATCGAGTGCCTATTAAACTGAATAAATAAAATACTTGCTGTAATGTAAAATTTATTACAATTCAACTGCTCTGAGGCAGATTCAGTTAGACACTAAATTTACATTATTTTCTGCAATACAGGTAAACAAGAAGGGGGGATTTTACCAATAACCAGTTTTCTTTGGTTAAGTATTAACA